AGAGAGGTTCAGATGGGATATGGGGAAAATGTTTTTCCCCATGAGGGCAGTTTGTGCAGTCTTCATCTGTCTGGGTTTTCAAGACCCAACTGGATAAAGCCCTGAATAAACCTGATCTAACCTAAAAGCTGATCCTGCTTTGAGCAGGAAGGTGGTTGAGAGAGCTCTTGTGGTCCCTTCCCACCTGAATTTATCCCATTAAATACAAACAAACAGAAACCCCACAGGTGAAACAACTGTCTGTTTATCAAGGCTGATGTACCTAAACCTAAGAAAAGTTTTCAGATGCTGGAGGCCCCTTTGGCAGTGGTACCTCCATGCAGGAGAGGTTGCAAATACAGGTTTCACTTCAGCATCCCTTTTTTGCTCGCTGGCTGACCTGTCCCCACCACTCCCAGCGCTGCTGCAGCAGTTCCAGCCCGAGATACCCATTTCCTGCTGTGTGTACAAGAAGGAGTCCACGTCTGGGGCATGAAATGTGGCAGTACTGACCGAGGGACTATCCAAATCCATCTGGAGTGAGTAATAAACCAGATAATAAGTTAAAAGCTACTAATTAATTTTCCTATATTGCAACTAGTTAGTAGGCATTTCTGTTACTTTGAAAGCTGTACTACACCTACCCCTTCCCTATAAACTGGTGTCCTGTGTGACTGATTTCTAATCCTGAAAATTAAATGAGCTTAATTCTTTTACAGCAGCAGATTCTACATGTTAAAAATGGGAGTTCCCAGAGGGAGCCATAATGGCAGGCTCCAGATGGGGCAGTGACAAAGTATCAAAGAATAATCCCACTCATGGGTTTGAAGATCAAATCCTATATCCCTCCATAGGATGTAAGTACAATTTGATGCCTAAATCCCAAAGCATTTTGCTCAGCTGCTGCATAACCCTATATATTGTAGGAACATGAAACTTCACCTCTGTGCCTGCTCACAGATGCCTTATATTTGACAATATCGAGCATTTTGGCACCTGTGTTACACCTGAGTGCTTTCAGGTTTCACAAAGTGGCTGCTGTGCTATCTGTCTCAGCACGAGCATTTGGTGCATTAGACACGCTCTCAGCCTAGTGCCTGGATCAGAAATCAGGATCCTTACTTGAAAGAGGGGAAAGGAAATTTAAGAATTGTTGATATATTATGCAGTATCGGAGTAAAATGCTGACTGGGTTGTAAAATGCTTACAGTGGGATCTGAAATACAGGACATCCCCTCCCTGGCATGTTCCCCTGCAGTGCAGGTAGCAATCCAGGTTCACTGCTGTGAGCTTTCTTTGTGCCTTCGTTAGTTTTGCAATTATGGCTACACCGTGACCCATCTTCAACGTGTGGGACAGACTGTCCTCAGCCTGGCCAGCAGTTTAGTCTCCTTTGGGGAGGTAGTTCTGAAATTGCAGCATTTCAAAACATGCAGAGATGAAGGGAATGAAGTGGCCTGCCTCCTTGATGGGTTAAACACTGAGCAAGTGTATGAAAGAACTGGATGAAGCCTGCTGCTTTCAGGGAGGAAAGATTTACCCCAGGTAGTGAGTATCTCAGGCAGGCTCCTCCAGATGGGAGGAGGTGGAAAGGAGGGAGAACAGGGAAAGCAAAGGAAAAACCTGTTCTGTTTCCTGTTGGCTAGATAAGTGGCTTCCCCTTCAGCAGCTTTATTTTGTGATCCTTTCCTTAGGCATCACTTCAGATAGGGAGCCAAGTTCCTAAAAATGGGGCTGTGAGCCTGAGCACCTTGTCTCTTTGTGATCTGGGCTGAGGTGTTTGTAATTCAGAAGCAGCATATAGCTCATTCCTCAGGAGTACTTCCCTTCACTTCAGGGTAGGCATAGATTACATACAGTGTTTGATCAGGTTTTATTTTAAATTGAGCCTCAGAGTCTCTGATGTTCTATAAAGGGCCAAGCAAGCTGACAATGCTGTCTGAAGGACAGCCCTTATGCAAACACAAATGTGCTGCCCGCAGTCAGATCCCTTAATAGCTTTCCACTGCTATTTTATTTTCCTCACTTTTACCTCGTGGGCGCATTAAAGGGATCTCTCCTTTATCCCACATCTTTCTGCTACTCAGTCAATCAAGATGGGATGGACAAAAGGATGTTCACTCCTTTACATCTCTGCTGAGTTAGCCCGTGCTGTTTCAAGTATCCATTCCTACCATTGTTTACTTTTACTAAGGGAAGCATTAAGGGATTTCATCAGTTTAACATCTATTTATGGCTAATTTACAAAATATAGAACGGTTGCCTTAAGGAAGGCGAAAGATGAAAACAAGAGAATACTTAAAATTTGGAACAAAGACAGCTTTTTAATTGACTCTTTATAGTGCTTAAACCACCGGGATGTGTTTCCAGGCAACAAGTTGCCTAACTATATGTCACCAGCAAGGACATCTGCCCTCTTTAACTGTGCTTAAAAGGATCCACAATGCCTGCAGTCATTTTTAAAAGGCCCGGAAGGGTGAGCAACCTCCTCCTTTACATGTTTAGCCGGAAGATTTGCTGGCACTAACTGTCCTAGTCTGTCTAACTGGATCACTGACCTGACATAATGAAATCATCATGAAGGTTTTCTGTTTCACTGAACACTTTTTCCCCTTCCCTCCTGGAGAAACAAAGGCCTTTCTCCTTAGGTAATGCCCACTCCAAAACAGGCATGTCATCACCTATCAGCTTTTGATGAATATTTCCTCCCAGCCGCAGTTCATCGTGTAGAAGAGTGAGATGCTCTTTTCTGAACTCATCTCCATTAAAAAAATCATGTGAAATAGAACCTTTGTCAAAATGGTAATCAGAAATCCTGCTTTGCCTCTTTAGGTATGCAATTCCTTGGTAGAGCTGTTACTTTAATGTGCTGGGATGGGAGACAAAGTGAGGAATATTTCCCACAGAGCATTCACATGAACAGATTGTAATTCAGGATGTAGAACTGCTTTTGCTATGGAAGCATAGGATGCAATATAGGCCATGTTCACACTGCACACAGCTCTTATACTGGACCAAAGCTGTATTATAATTTCCCAATTACTGCTGCAGAAGAGCAGAAAAGAAGTTCCTAGAAAAGAGTTAACATGAATCTAGCACCAAACAACTGAAATTTTGCTTGGACAGCTCTAAAGCAAATAGACTTGTTTTCACTGTTCAAAAGAAAACTCTGGAGGATGTATATTACAGTATCTTTCTAGTTTTGGGAGTATCCATAAATAATTTAAGAAATGCTTGAGGCATGCATTTGCATGGTTAGGGCTATGTCCATCCTGCTCCTCTCAGTGTTTGAAGATTTCTCAGGGGTGAAGAGAAGGAGGAGGGTGCTCACTACCTCTTGATGGGAATGGTATAATTGCATGCCATAACACCATGAGCTGGCACTGGTGCTCAAAGCAGCAGCTTTGCAGTATACCCTTCCCCAGAACCTTCTTGGTAGCTCATTGCCTCCACCCTTGTGCTTAAATTTCTCGTGCAATAGTGCAGGGAGCCTTTTGTCTGCTCTGAAACTCATGTCAGATTTCGCTTGTATCTTGTTCCAGTTCTGACACTCAGCTTTGTGCTCAGTGTAGCTCTGTGCTGGGGTGAAGAAGCACAACAGTTGGCAGAAGTGGAGGAAGCTGTCAGGACGTTTTTCTTGGTGGTAATGTTGGCAAATGCCAGCTTAAAACACTTGTGAACTTGTGGCCTGACATTGGTCATTAAGAATAATGTGTGTTGGAATTCCAGCAGTACTGTGCATTTTTATGGCTGAAGGACAAGTCATGAACAAAGTTTTTCTTTATGTTTAAAGATGGTATCTTACATAATTAAAAAGTGAGGCACTTGCCGCAGCTTCTTGATATATTCTGAGCTCTTAATGGAGTAACACAATTTATTATAGCCTCTTTATTCCATTCTCCAGCTGTACAGGTCTTGGGTTCAAAGTACGGTGTTTCCCTAGAAATTCAGACCACAGTAAAGGATTTAGCCTAGCCTTCAGCCAGCCAGCTCTGACTGCATCGACCCAAACTCCATTTGAAGAAACACATTTCTTTAATTTTACCTTGAAATCATGTCACAGGCTGGATACTGCTTTCAAGAGAGAAAGATTATTATTATAAATAGATAACCATGGCTTCAGGCTGCACCATTTGTTACTTCAATCTCAGTTAGGTCCATAATAATGTTTGTGCTCAGGAAATCCTCAAGAGCATGAGAGTGCATTTGTATGGCCTGTTAGGCACAAAATTGCCTGTTTTATTGGTGCAATAGAGGTGTACCTTTTAAAAATTTTACTCCCTGTGTTTATAACTGCTCAACTAAAAAAATCACAAAATGGACATGGAACTGCCTGGTAATACAAAGACAGTGGCTGCTAATGCAATGTTCACATAATTTAAGATGCCACTTTTCTTAACATACTAATCTACTGCATTTCTTCAACCTACTTTTCAGAATTCTTTCCCAAACAACATCCACACCAAAACAGAACTGGAGACATCCAAGCAATGGCATTGCATGACAATCTCATGAAATAAACAGCAGCTTTTTTTCCTTAAATGGTTTTGTTACTGAACAGGTTGCACTCTACTACAAGGATATAGGTTAAGTGGTGTCTACTCTGTGTTTCAACACACAAAACAACCTCTAGTTGTTTCACCTCCACGGTTGGCTAAATCACATCACGATATGTCAGCATCCTGTGTTTTTGCTTGCCTCAGTAGCAGTTATCAACTTAACCCTACGTATCACTGTTGTGATCACTACCTCGTGAGTATATGTGTTGACTTTTGAGAAAGTGCATTACTTTGCAGTCCTCCTGCAAATGAAGTTTAAGTGTCATAGTTCAGTCTATAATAGTACAACTGCATCATAATCCAGTCATGTACTCGTTATGTTTGTCCAGAGAGTCATTCTCACAGACAAACCTCCACCCTAGGTGTTAGGTGCAACAGGTCTGTAAGACATGTATGCTGGTGGTAGCTGTCATTTAGAGGGATTAGAAATTAACCTTTTTTTTTTCCTCTCTTTCTGCTAAGGGAATGAAATCCCTGGGTAACTTACAGCTCAGAAGTCTTCTTATGCAGGAGCCTGAAGAAAGCCGCAGATCTTCCTTTGGATTTTCAGAATGGGAAGGACACAAGGCTTTGGTAAGCTCATGACAGATATTGTTTCCCCCATGCTTTCACTGCTGCCAGGGTCTTTTGCCTGCAGGAATCAACACTTCCAACTGGCAGAAATAACATAGCTACAGCCACTCCATCTCCAGTGCTCCCTTCCTCTTATCAAAATTTAATCCTTGTCTCTGAGGCACTTCATTTTGCCATGTATCCCTGCTGAAATCAGTGGGACTGCTCATCTGAATAAACTGTGGAAAATTAGGTTGTTATTCTTTAGAGAAAACATAGATGAGGCAATGCTGCAAAGCAGCACTGCGGCCGTTAAGACTCCACTAGTATAGACTACCTAGCTAAGGGTTAGATACTAGTTCTGTTCAAGGATAAAATCTTCTGATTGATTTAAAAACCTCCCTGGAACTTTCCAGGTTTCTGGTGGTGTTATGTTACAGAAGGCAGGTATTGCCAGGTTTTGGAGTGAATTCAGAATTATGACTCTAATCAAACAGTCACAGGCACTTGATATTTCTCACATTGTTACTGTGGGGTACAAACATAGATATTAACTACAGCTTCCTAAACTATTTGGTTTATTAAATCACTGGTATCCTCCTTTCCTTTTTTAAAAATTTGTTTAATCTTTTATATTTTGCATACCTAGACTAGTACTAAGAGTTTACTATACCATACCTTAAAGCTAGGACATTGTTGTTAATGGAAAAGCTTTTGCAGCAGTGTCAAATGAGACAAACTGGACAAATTCTTAAGGGACACGAAAGGGTAGTCTCTTAGTACTTATCTGGATATGTACAGCTTTCAGAATTAAAAAAGGATTTATTGTCATACACTGACTATAAATCATCTATATATCAGGAACTTGGGACTGAAGCAGAAATGAAAATACCATTCTACACGATCACATAGAAAGTCTGTGTTGGGACTAGAAATTGAACTGAAAATGTCCTCACCCTGTGACAGTCACAGCCAGAATCTGTCAGAATGAAGAGAAGCCACTCTCTGCCTTTTTTTCTTAAAGCAGCAAATCTGCAAAAGATGCCAGATTACATTGAAGTTCTAATACTATTTTTTATTAGAACAGATTAGAAAAGTATTTTTTTCAAGTGAGAAAGTCACAGAATCACAGAATGACCATGGTTGGAAGGGACCTCTGAGATCATTGAGTCTAACCTTAAAAAAAACCAACACAAAACACAACACCCCACCACATCACACCCACCCACAAACCAATAATCTTGGGCACTAGAGCAAGCCCTGAAGAGCCTTGTCTACACGTTTCTTAAATCCCTCCAGGGATGGTGACTCCACCACCTCCCTGGGCAGGCTGTTCCAGTGCCTGAACACTCCCTCAGTAAAGTAATTCTTCCCAATATCTAATCTAAACCTCCCCTGCCTTAACTTTAGAACATTTCCTCTGGTCCTGTCATTATTCACTTGGGAGAAGAGGCCAACACCCACCTCTCTACAACCTCCTTTCAGGTAGTTGTAGGGGGCAATGAGGTCCCCCCTCAGCCTCCTCTTCTCCAAACTAAACATGCCCAGTTCTCTCAGACTCTCCTTGTATGACTTGTTCTTTAGACCCCTCTCCAGCTTGGTGGCTCTCCTCTGGACACGGTCCAGCAGCTCAATGTCCTTCCTGTAGTGAGGGGCTCAGAACTGAACACAGTACTCAGGTGAGGCCTCACCAGTGCCGAGTACAGAGGCAAAATGACTTCCCTACTCCTGCTGGCCACACTATTCCTGATACAGACCAGGATGCCATTGGCCTTCTTGGCCACCTGGGCACACTGCTGGCTCATGTTAAGGTGGCTGTCCACCAACACTCCTAGGTCTTTTCCTTCTGGGCAGCTTTCCAGCCACTCTTCCCCAAGCCTGTAGCGCTGCCTGGGGTTGTTGTGACCGAAATGTAGGACTCAGCACTTGGCCTTATTAACTCATCCCGTTGGTCTCAGCCCACTGATCCAGTCTGTCCAGATCCCTCTGTAGAGCCTTCTGACCCTTAAGCAGATCAACACTCCCACCTACTTTTGTGTCATCTGCAAACTTACTGAGGGTGCACTCAATCCCCTTATCTAGATCATCAACAAAGATATTGAACAAGACTGGGATATTAAACAAGACTGGTCAAAAGACCTGAAAATAAAAGACTGTAAACATTCTACCTCCTGTACTGGGCTGGACAGTCTTTTCTCTCCAGCCCTATCTATTCTCAGTCTAGCAAATTTCAGTAGCTTTCTGATTTGGACCAACTTCCACCATCCCACCAGGTACCTCTTAAAATTCTCTTTTCTTTAGCTCTGGGCTGACTACATGTTTGTTTTCTGCTCCCCTCTGCCTGTTTCAGCACCTTAGCAGCTTCCTGCCTGCCAAGTCTGTCCCTTCCCAGCTGCCCAGCTCTGCTCTCCTGCACCTTTTTCCTGCTGAGCGAGTTCAGTTACCATCAGAAAAGGAGCAACTGTCCCGTCTGTAAAATATTCCTCTGTTGCCAAAGCCCAGTGGTCAAGGAATGGCAAACAAGCAGTCTTCCTACCTGCTGCCTAGCCATAGATTTTTCAAAGGAACATAAAAAACACTAACTGCAAACCAGAAAATTAAACAGATGCTATTCATCATAGTCCCACCCCAGCACCTGGATTGCAATACCATCTCTTACCACATAAGCTCTTCTCTCTCTTCTATGTCTTTTTCCTGTATGCCTATCTCTCCCTGTCAGCCCAAGTCCCTTTTTATTTTCTGTAATCTATATCAAAAGAATTTAATTTTTATTAAACTTTTCACCTCTTGTTCCAAAGACTTGATGTTCCTCAGATCATCTTATTTTTTTCTTCTGCTCACTTGTAATTTACTTTTAATTCAAGACGACTTTCCTTTCCTTGCTTGCTTGAAACCTGGTACGCTGTTTCTGATTATTTTTCTCCATTCTGAATGTACTCATCCCAGTCTTTCTTTTCCTGGCAAACCCTGTGTCCTTGGCATGAACACAGTTTTGAACACCGACTGAGGTGTATTCAGACCATACCCTTGCAGGGACCCTGGCCTGTAGGGGCACTGACATAGATATTGATTTATTTTCATTTAGGCCAACTCAGAATTCCTCTTTTTTTTTCTTTAGTTTAAATTTGGCCTTTATTTTAAAAAAAAACCTTATGCCTTACTGTTCATGCCTTAGATTGCTACCAAGTAATGATGCCTACTTCTCCACTCTTTTTTTTTCTTGCTGTTGACAAATAACCAACTGCTGTGCATTTCCAGGACTGGAGCTGTCTATTTCTGCTTGTGTTCCTACTATCCACACTAATGTCCATTCTCAAATTCCTTATTTACTTTTTTCCCTCTGTACCCCAGAAGTTTTATCTGATCTGTCAAGCTTCTTTTATAATTGTGTTCATGTTCTTGACCTTGTCATATGTTATTTTCTTTATAAGAACATGGGAATTGCCAAATCAGAAAACAAACAATGATTCATCAAGACTACTAGCTTGTCAAAGAGGGCAGAAAAAGCTCAGAGAATACCTAGACAGGAATACAGTATTATAGAAGGGGATATAAATCCTCCTTGGCTTCCAGCATTGATCAGTTTGAGCCCTCAGGCTTTAGATTATGTAGTTTACTGTTCTTATTTCGGCTAGTATAAACTACCTATGGTCTTTTTGTGCAGGTGTATTTGATTCTGGTTAAATTTTACCAAAATTTTGGCTCAGAAATATTGTGTAGGTTATTTGAGTATTACATGAGAAGCCTTATTCAATGCTGAGAAAATATCTGCTTACAGAAAAACTCCCTGGTTTACCTAAATAAACAAACAACTGAAAAAAAAGAAGTATTTCTTTTCATGGACCTACTCTGAAACAGGATCCTTCCTCTCTGTTTTTATGTTTATATGTGACTCTTGTCACTCTTAAAAATAGCTGGGATGGAAATAATAGAAATTAGATTTTGCCCCTTTAGCTTGAAGCAGGAGGTATATAACTCTTAGTATTTTATGTCCACATACCAGTACTAAGACTCCAAGGACAGAACTAGCTTGTTCATATAAATTAACTTTGTCAGAGCTAGTCAAATTTTGCAGTCATCCCAGTTCCCTCTGGTGTGTTCAGCCCAAGTAGGTGATGCATGTAGTGTTTTCTGTGCTTAGTAGCATAGGATGCTCTGTGGTCTTCCTTTAAACCTCCAGAATTATTTTCAATCTTTTCTACTGAAAACAATGCCCAGAGCTGCCTCTTTCTGCAATTTATTTATATGAACTTTGACAACTTTCATGTACAAAAGATGGTGCTTAAACATTACCCATGTTTTTGCCTTCTTTCCTACCAATCACAGCCCCGGAGGAGGTTTGAGTAATTTGGTTTCACTGATTGCAAATGAGCAGGAACTTCAGATGCTATGTGTTGTTTTCTAACACAACCTTGTTAATCAGAGAGGCACCCAGAGAGACCAGCTGCATGCAACTGAACCTCGGCCATCTAGTTAGTGCTAGCTTGCCTGGGTTGCTTCTTGAGCCCTGCTCTCTCCCAGCATCAATTCAGCATGGGCAATACTTGTTCTCCAGGGCTGGTGAGGAGGAAGGTGCTGATGTGTATGTATATGCTCTAACTTCCTAGATCAGAAAGGAAAAACCTTCTCTGTATTTGAAACATGTTTCCTATATCTGTCTGAAAAAGCATTTGGTCATCATTTGGTATCATTGCACTCTTGGCGCATAGGTATTTAAAAATGAAAGGAGTGCTGGATCTTTAGAGGAACAATAACACATTTCGTGTGAATGATAGCTCCTACGGACTTTTAATGGTTACAAGGCTGAAGAAGGCATTTGCTCTTGAATGCTTAGCAGCTGATTCAACACAGGCTGATTAGATAAAGAAAAGAGAGTGGAAGGATAATAAATAAAAGAGCACTGTGGTGAGGGTTCTAAGGAAATGAAAAACATTTATTGATAATCAATCTATGGTAGATTTTGATAATGAACTCCTGTATAATAAGCAGCCCGTGTGCTCACCCTGCCACTGGAATTCTAA